GAGGTCAAGGGTCGGGGGAAGCTGTGGCAACATGCAGAAGAGCCCTCAGACGGACGCGTGTCCTGTGGACGTCAGAGAGTCTCTGGCCTCAGTCTCTTTCTATCTCTGTCGGTCTGTCAGATTGTAATATTAACCCACTCGGAAAAACACAGGCTGTAGTGTGGTTAGACCACAACATTTGCCCGGAAGACTGTTCATTGCATTGAGCAATACTATAAGGACAGAATACATAAGGTGTCTTCATGGGTGGTTGTGCAGGAATATATACATATATGGAGGCAATTAGGCACAGTAATGTGTCTTTAAGGTCATAATAAGGGGTAATGCAGACCGTCTCTGATCTTGGTTTTCTCTTGTGTAGCTGTCGCTCATATGCCGGCTCTGGAGTAGGAATGTATAATGTATGTGATGGTGTGCGTCTGGGGTATCCAGTCCTGGTCCTGCAGCTTTTCCAATTCAAAGCGACAGGTCTCTGCAGAGCTGGGAGAAGCTGTTGAGCCAGTAATTAATTTGCCCCTTCAGGACCAGGCTGGCCCATGTCTGGATACACACGGGAATCCAGCGCGAAGCGTGTGGCTCTGCTCTCTTCCACTCCTGTTGAGTCTGGAGGTCGATAGCTCTGGGCTTGACTGTGCATGCCCAGCTTGAACCCAGGGCCCTGCATCTCGCCCGTGAGCAGCCGGGGGTTCTCGGTGCAGCAGGCTGACGTTGGAAGCTCCGGTTGTGATTCTGCAGCTCTCGAACCCTGGGCAGGGCTGAGGGTGGCCTGCCAGTCTCCGTGACCGCTCACCGACTGTTCCTCGGTAGGTGAGCAGGCAAGGGTCAGTCTGCCTGTCCTAGCCCTGCGGCAGCAAGATGAGCTGGGGAAAATTGCTACTGGTTTTAATTGCCCCGGCAATTCCCTGGCTGCTGTTTCAGCCAGGAATGGATGATGGGTTTGGAGGTAGCTCCGGTAATTCACCTCCGCATGATCTGGTCTTCCTCTGTCTGCCTGCTGTCCAGGTACCTGTCCTCCTGTGGCATCCTGATGACCCGAGGGGCGCCCCTCCTGGCGCCGCCGCCCGGGCCCCCTGTCCTCGCGTGCAGGCGCAGCTTCCTGAACCTGGCTGCGCCCCTCATCAACAAGAGGAAAGAGTACTCTGAGAGGCGCATCATCGGGTGAGTCGCGTCTCTGGGCGGCACGGCACTGAGGTGCTGTCAAGCAGTCCCGCCGCAGTGTGCCGGGGTGTGGCTGGTGAGTGCGCAGGTGTTAGCACAGCGTGCGCTGGGCTGGTGAGTGTGCGCGAGGCCGTTAAGGTGGTTGGTGAGTGTACAGGTGTTAACAGTGCGATAAGGTGTGTA